ATATGTGAGAAAGCTGCATCTCTGGCATACCAAGAGAAAAAAAAGTTCGGGGTAAACCAATAATTGCATAAAAAAAACTTAAGCAAATGCAAGCCCAAAAATGAAGTTTACTTCCAACAGAAAGCCCGGGTGAGCGCAAATACGCGTCTAGTTTGAATAAAAACGACCTTGTTACTTTCATGCTGTCGGTATCGCTTGATGTAAGGATAGTGCAATTTACACAAAGAAGCTTCAATCATTTTTCCAGCTTTATGTGAAAATGTTAATCAAATTTCCCCAAATTTTATGGATAATTTGGGCACAGCAATTATTCTGCTCATTGGCATATATTTTGATTTACCACGTTTGTGTTGCTGTCACCTTTAGATGAAAAAGACACCCGTAATACAGCTTCATCCATGATATAATGATATAGAAAAAAAATCCTACCCCATAACCAAAACAAAATTATACTTTCCAAGCTACTAATACACATGTTTAAATTTGAGCATGCTCATTAGCTGAGAACATGTCAATAATCTCAAACAGTGCAGAGAATCAGGGTCAAGTTTTGGAGTGTTACTAAACTGTGGATCCGCAGACCGCGGAACCTTCGCAACAGCAGAATCTGCAAAATAAATCGTGGTGATTTACCTCAAATTGAACTCAAAATAATGCAATTTCCTTTACAAATCAGCTAAGAATTTCGAAGTATTAGCGAGTAAGCTTGCCAATTTGAAATGCTACTTCAAATGGTGCATATGTCTACCAGCAAATTTTAAACTCATGATAAGCCACTTTTGGCAGCCATATCATGGATGCCTACGTCTTGGTAACGAGTTCCCCCACTGCATTGCGAACCTATCTTAATCACCACCATCTTTCCAGATACCTTACTCCTAAATTAGCTTCTTTAGCTCGTATTTCTATTGGTAACTGAGAAGAGACTTTAGAAGGAATCTCGTTTGAAGCGCGCCTGAGGCCTATTAGTGCATCTGAAGTGATTCTTCAATTGAGCAAAGGGCGAAGCCAAATTTATTCACACTCATCTCGTGGTGAGCCCTTTCCTTAATTCAATATCACCAAGCCTTTATGAGAAACGCTTCATGAAGGTTGTCGTATCGGTTTTAAAGAAAGGAAAGGATGAATAACACACTACGTCTCAGGTTTGCTGTCAATGGAATGGATTATTTTATAAGAACCTTAAGTGGCAAGCTAGTACACAAGCTAACTCTGAAATGTGCCTTTTACCACACTGCAGTATAAAACGCATAAGGACATTTAAATTTACGAATTACTCGAGGTTACCAGTTAAAAACTAAAATCCTATCCGGTGGGAGTAAAGATGCTGTTATAAAATGATTATTAAAACCGCGAAAGCTCCGGGAGTGTGGAAAGATTTGACTGTGCAATTAGAACACTAAGAAGAAAGGAACAGCAACGTCCTTGACCTTGATGACAAAAGATATGTGTGGCACTGACTGCAACAGAAGTGACATAGATACCTTTAAATACGTCTTTTTGTAATCAATTCGGCAACATTTTAAACTGAAGGCTGTTCTCCTAAAAGAGTGACATATAAGTGGAAAGCTTTTCTGACGAAAACTCAAATAACTTTGCACTACAAATATGGCGGCAAAAGCATATCAGACCTAATTCTTGCGCTATTTCTAGGTCTAAGATGAAAGAAAGAAAAAAAAAAAAAAAGCTCGTCCGCCTTGTAAAGACGACTTTAAAATGCGCGTACAAAGGCGAATTTTGAAAAAGCGCAACTTCTCGAAATTACCAGCGTCTTCCCAATTATTTATTATTTTATTTTTATTGGTTTTATTCGATCTACTGATGCCCTTCGACCAATCGTACGCACGCAAAAATATTTGATGATTTATAATCGTTGGTATTTTAAGGCAATTGAGCGAATCGGGTGCACGATTCACCGATCGATCTAATCATTGCTGTGTTTTCTCCATTAATGTTCTTGTCCCTTTCTTTAAATTGATCATGATCAGTTTATCGCACCTGGAATGTCGAAGATAAATGAAGTGTTCTATAAAAAATGAGACTTTATTCAATAAACAGCAGTCTACAAAACAGGCGCGAACGCTTATTACCCCATGGGCTATACAATAACAAAAGCAAAGTGATCTAAATAGTGGCAATAGCACTACTCGTTTTAGCTAGACTTAAAGGACGGAAAATGAAAAAATTCGTCGTGGTGAGACGGAATTAGTCCTATTTTTAGCCTGCTCGGTGAACGCATGACTGATTTCCACTCTCCATTTCCAAGAACTGAAAATTGAACGGATATATTATCTTAACATCAACTTCAATTTATGTCGTCTTCACCTAGCGATATCTGAACAAATGAAGCACGCACTGATAATAGAGTGAAGTTTGAATCCCTCAAACAACTCAGCCCTCTCAGACTCTTTGGAACTCTTCAGTTATTCTAAAGCGCGTATACCTCTCTTTTTGTTGCTAAATAACTTAAACTAGTTTCTAAACTTCAGGAACACCTTGCAAATGTTTTATTATATTAGTGTGACCACGCTTACTTTGCCTATAACGTCCTCGTTGCTTACTATTCAAGAAACATTTTCAAACGATAAAGTGATGTTCTGCAGGCAACATTAGGATAGGGATGAAATAAATTTCCAAACGCGAAAAAGTGAAGTTATCCTGGAAATGATCAACATATATTTGAGCCAGAAATTAAAGCTGATTTGCCCAAACTGTGTTTAGAGATAATGTGTAATTCAATTCATTGTTTTGGAATCATGATATGTATCCCTTTTCCTGTCGGCTTTCTTTTCCGTTTTCCTTTTTTTAATGAAAATTTCAAAAGTAGTCCTGCAAAATTGGAAAATCGATTCAATTACGTTTTTATACGAGTTTTCCGTCAACTTGTATTTTGTTTTTATTTAGCAGCAAAGGGAAAATGAATATCGAGTCCTCTATAATTTGAGAGCAGGCAACCTATTTGAGAAAGAACGTGTATAAGCAAATTTTAGAATATGCCAATTTTGTCGTTCATTTTTTCCCGATTATTTTGAAAGTACCAATCTCCTGATAGCGCTCAGGTTCGTAAGCCATTCCGATTTCCTGATAGTGGCCACTATCATTCGGTTTCCCGATTTCCTGATAATCAGCAGCCATATTATGGATGCCTAATTCTTGGTAACGAGTTTCTCCATTGGAAAAGTGCAACTTCTCGTACATGCCAGTGTCTTTCCAGACACCTAACTCCTCGTAGTTGACAATGTCCTCCTTAGAACGCGTTTCTTTTAGCTCGTAATTATGTGGGCTTGGGTGAGGAACCTCAGGAGGCATCCCGTTCGAAACGCGCCGGTTTTCAATTCTCTCTTGACGGTGGCAGTGGCGGACGAGGCAAATGCTGGCGAGCACGATGACAAATATGCCACCACAAGAAGCACCAATGATGAGTGGGTAAGGAAGTTTTTCTTTTACATCCTTCTTTGGGTCTGAAAGAAGAGCATTGGACGGGTTTAGTACTCTTACTACTAAAACCACCATACTTCTGGTGCTGTTGGTAGTGCTAATCTTAAAAATCCTTCCGTTGCTGCTTCTGCTGCTACATCCACTATTTTTGCTACTGCTACATTCTGTACTGCAACTGCTCGGCTACTACCATTGCTATTGCTAAAACTGTCGTTGGCTCTTGTGCTTCTGATATTGCCATCGTTCTTGTAATTCCTAAATCTGGTGCTACTGCTTCTGCCGCTGCATTTTCATCAACTCCCGTTCGCGCATCTATGGATCCTACTGCTATTACTAGGGGACTGTTACATATACTATTTTTGCTACAGAGTAGCTTCAAATTACCTTCGTCTTGGATTCTGTCGATGATTTTTAACGACTCCGGGTTGACAGGCAAAGGACCAAGAGTGCCGTTTTGCACGGCTTTTTTCAACGGAGCAACCGCTGTGTCATCTGAAACTTTTTGCTTGAATAATAGCCTAAATTCTACCACAACACTTCCGGGCCTGTATCAAATAAGGGGGATTGAAAGGTACTGATCATTATAATAGTCGCATTGTGCAATGGTAACATCATTCATTTACCTACTAAATTTAAAGGTTGCATACCTGAATGCTACAATTTGTACTCCAATAAAGTTTTTGAGCCCAGAATACTGTTTTTGTACCTGTAAGTTTAAAAAGATGATCTCAAGACGTTTCGTCAATATCTTGCGCGACAGCTTTTTCAAGGGTGGAAAGCTTTCTAAAGGTTATTAAAGGCCCCTAATAACGTAAGGTCATGTATCAGCAAGGACTTGCACCTGGTTACACTTTTAGGGCTGCCAAGTGTGACTTTTATTTAATCAAATTTCTTCTCGTGCTAATTTTGAAGAGAAACAATACGTGAATATAAAAGATTCATTTGAAGGGCAGTAAAATATCTACAAGCATTACTTATTTCTTACCTCATTTTCAATGAGGGAGGCTAGTTCTCTATAGGTTGGACTGGCTTTATCCCTTAGTTCGTTATTCCATGTCCTTTCAATACGTATTTCAACCGCAACCACTATAGAAGAGAAGTCAAGTGGATTGATTTTGATAACAAAACAAATTAATTTTAATCTCAGCTTTTCCCTATAGTCTTGTAACTTGTGGCATGAAAATCAAAATTTAAGTGTCAAATGTTGCGCATTGGAAGAATGTTTTATTGACAACTCGCTCGTGGACAGAAGGGAAAACAAAAAGGTTTAAGTTCTACGGCGATTACTCCACCTTCGACATCAATTTTTACCAACCAATATGCACGTACCAGTTTCATAGTCTTCCGTTGTTGGCTTCGATGTTGTTGTTTTTTCGCGGGCTTCGCTTGTAGGAATATATCCAACCACTGAAGACGACATAACGGAGTCTTTGACTGCGGATGTGGCTCGTGTTTGGTGTAAAGCACTGGATTTTGTGGTCGAACTGGTCAACAGATGCGTGGGAAATACGCTATTTTTGGTTGATTTAGAACTCAAGGATGATGTACCTACAGGAATGTTGGTCGATTGAGAACTCAAGGCTGATGTACTCATTGAAGTGTTGGTTGATTGAGAACTCAAGGCTGATGTACTCATATAAGTATCGGTTGATTGAGAACTCAAGACTGTTCTGCTCATGTAAGAGTAGCTAACAAGAGTAGAATGCACGGTGACAGCTAAGGATAGGAAAAGAAAGTATGTTATTCAACCTCATCCCAAAATTTATGCTCACAATAAAAGGTAACGGGTATCCGATTTCTTATGAAGCTGCTTGCAGAAAGGTTGTCGGGAAAAAGGGAAAAGTGCACGCGAAAATCTCGAAAGGTAATCTGGGTATCCGATAAACAATTAGTTCTAAAAGGTGAAACAAATCAACGGGGACAAATGTCGACATGCTAGAGAATAGGAGAGGGACGAAATAATAGAAAATTACTTTCTAAACATTTTTTTCTTCAGGTCACTTAGAATTCCCCCTTTTTTAAGTTTACACCATTTTCGTCGTTCACTAGAGTAAGTTTGTTCTTTTTTCCGTTTTTATCAAGTTTAGAATTAAAAGTCAGTCTTTCGAACATATCAACTCATCAAACTTGCTGTGTATCTTCCTTACAGCAATGTTTTCTTAGATTTTCCTGAAATCCTGAGGTCAAGGAAATGTGAACAAGGTTCTCGCATGCAACCTTTCTGCAAACAGCTGTACAAAATACTCAAATATGCTGATTAAAACCACACCCTTATGAAACTTTTTGGGTTTACCATTAAAGTGAGCAACATTTTTTTAATATTCTGGTTTGCAGTACATTGCGACGCTGTCGATTATTTTACTTTGTACCATGGTCGTCAAAAAATGAGATTTTCCTCTAACTTCAGGAATGTTCATGAACAACCTGTGCATTTACATTCACGTAAGATAACGACTTATACAATTTTTTTTTCGCACTTGTAAATATTCGAAAAATTTATGTTGATATTCAAACCTCAAACACAAAAATAATTTAACTAAAACTTGCAATAAAAAGACAAAAGCAACCTTCTCGAATAGTCTTTCTGTCGCAATCCAAACCTTACCAGTTTCGCATCGTTCACCGGTATACCCAGCGAGGCAATTACACGAGTAGTTGTTAGTACCATCTACACACGTCGCACCATGAGCACATGTATGATTAACACAGTCATCAAAATCTGTGACAGAAAGAAGAGTAGGTAACCATGTTCCGTTGTAGATAAAGTCTTAAGACGCTCGGGAAAAAAAAACTATCCGTCAACGTTGTAGAAACTACTTTTATTGACTTTTCCCTTGTGATTTTCTGTTTAAATAACTAAACAGGAACACATACAATTATCCTCGAAAAAATAAATTCTACAAAAATACAAAACGAAGACTTCCAATCACAAGATAAAGGTTTTCAGGGGGGGATCCTCGCCGAATGAAAACTTTAAACAACAAACAAAAACAAACAAAGACAAACAACAAAATTTATTTACGTTAGTAATTTAAATACATATCTAACAATCCTTACCCACAAATGAAATTTTATGGGGTGTTTTATCTTTGACAAAATCGTATATAGAAAAACAATTCGTCCTCTACTTCTATTCTCAATCGCTCTGAAGAAGGGCTAACCCTCGAAACGTTAGCCTTTAAACTCTTAATGGTGGCCAATTTACGTTTTGAACACTAAATTACCTGATATACTCTCCCACCGACGCAGCACCGCAGTTTCTTTAGAAACTTACCCTTTACTTCTCCATTGGACAAGTAAGGTTGAACAAGAGATTGATATGAGATCAATACAGCTTGTGGGACAAAATGTCTGAATCGTGATAAAATGTCTGAAGACTCGCTAATTGTCGATGTCACAAATGCAGTGTGTTGAGTCAAAGATAAATTTTAATCGATTAGGACACCAAAGTATTTCATGTATTCTTTCCGTTCCAGGGAGACAAGGGAATTGGCGCTACAGTCAAACATATTTATGTTCACTTGATAATCAGCACGTTTTTGATACTGTTTTAATATATCGAAGTTATATTTTGATGTTTAGAGATCTACACACCAGTTGCTCGCATTCCTTAGCTCCTGGTTAGTTGTTACTTCAAGAGATCTCAAACTCTTATCAGCATAAGACAAGTTAGTGTCATCAGCAAATAAGAAAAAGTCTAGTTTCTCATAGAGAGCATAGATGTCAACTATGTACAACAAGAGCTGTAAAGGTCCTAATATTGATCCTGGTGGGACACCACAGAGACAAAACTCTTTAATTTCTTAGATACTTAAGTGCCGACTTGAGTAGTTTGATGTTGATCATTCAGATGAGAGAAAACTAAAAATCAATTACTCCAGGTATTCCGTGATGTTCGAGTTTTCGCAGTAAGATTGAGTGATTGACGACCTTTACAAGTAGAAAAGGCCTTATCATCCCATTGCAAACTTGAGTTGACGAGAGTTGTATTAACATCAACAAGCAAAATAACAGGGCCACGGCCACATGGTCAAAAGAGAAAATCGACTTCATCCCAAATAAAATATTTCAGTCGTTGGATGACCTTACCAGTTCCACATCGTTCTCCAATAAACCCAGAAAGGCAACTGCACCAGTAGTTGTTGTTACCATCCACGCACGTCGCACCATTAGCACATGCGTGGTTAACACAGTCATCAACGTCTGAAGAAAAAGAGAAGAATTACATCGAAGAAGTGAAAAAAAGGTCTTTCGGAAGTCCCAAAAAGGTCACTGAACTTGAAAAGATACATTCAGTGAAGAATCATTAAACCATTATTCACAAATATTCAGTAAAGAATTATTTCAACCACGATTTGATGCCATCAACACTAACCCGTCTCACATTGATCTCCGGTAAAACCAGCGAAGCAAATGCACGTATGGTTGTTCACACCGTCCACGCACGAACCACCAATGGGATTACAAGTATGATTCATACAGTCGTCGATGTCTGCAAATAGAAAATGGATATGAAGTATCCATACTTACCAAGGTTGGTGAGCAATCTTACACAGGGCCCAACCTGTGAAAACGTCATGACTCTTTTAATTGCAAACTAGAGCTTACAAAAACAAGATGTCTGAAGGCAATCAAAAACAGAAATATATTTATAGAGAGAAATCTTGTCAACAAACACAAATCTTGCCGCGAATTTTTTATTTATTTTTTTTATTTTATGTCTTATCAGTTTCACAGCGTTCACCGGTTTACCTACGCTGGAAACTGCGTGAGAAGTCGTTGGTACCGTTTACACACGATGCGCAGCCATCGTTGTCGATTAATAAAACTAGTAAATTAAAATAAGGTTAACTTTCTTAAAGAAAATCAGTGTTAGATTGGGAACCAGCTCGTTGAAAATAAAGATTTTGATTTGCAATATAGTCTGTTTCCAGCACTAACTTGTCTCACAGTGGCTTCCAGTAAATCCATCCAGGCAGTTACACGAGTAGTTGTTAACACCGTCCAAGCACGAACCACCACTGACATTGCAAGTATGATTCACGCAGTCGTCGATGTCTATAAAAAGTAAGGGTGTACAGAGAAATGTTTAACGAAAAACAGATAGTTGAACAATGGATGCAAAACAGTTTATATGAATTGATGAATTAGTTCATTTCAGAATGATGTTTATTCTTGTATTCATTCTTCGAACGTTAAGTTATTTCAAAGATATTGTAAAACACTCAGATAAAGCTCGTCTTCAACAAATACTAAGGATAAAGCAGTGACGACAAAGAGGTCGAAACCAGCATACCAGAACCACATTGATCTCCAGTAAATCCTGCCACACAACTGCACGTGTAGTTATTGACACCGTCTATACATGATCCACCATTAGCGCAAGTGTGATTAACGCAGTCATCTATGTCTTTGATGAATTTTAAATAGAGACAGCAACAACGTTATCAATAATAATAATCATAAGTCAAGACAAAAGCTGGATTAACTGTCAGAAAGGGTTGGAGAGATTGTGCGCATCGGAACATTGCAAACACAAGTCAAATGTGGGCAAAATAAGTCTATCTGTTCCGAGTTAAAGACAGTGTGGGGTATTGAAAGTTTCCGTTTAATCCTGGCTCAAAAAGTTTGGTTTGAACTTTTGTCATAAGTCATTTTACAATGTATCTTTTTTTTACCTTATCTATATTTTGGTCTGAATAGCACCAGATGTGCCAGGTATTTAAGGGAAACACACGACATTTTCTTTTTAAAAACATGTCTCGAGAGTTCTTCTGTCATCATCAGTTCTGATTTATACATACTACAAAGTTGAATTTAAAGTGTGTAACAAAGTGCTCATTGGACCAAACAAACAATAGAAACCAAGAAATGAAAGCAATTTTGTATCTGTTCTGTTGAATGGAATAAATAAACTATTATAAAAAAATACATGAAAGTCCAAGAGAAAATCTACAGACACGTCAAACTCCAGACAAATAGAAGTGCATGATGCGATAAATCAACCTACCAGTCTCACAATGATCTCCAGAAAACCCGTCCAGACAGTTACACGAGTAATTGCTGATGCCATCTACACACGATCCATTGTTTCTACACTCATGACTGACGCAGTAATTGATGTCTAAACATTTACGAAATCAAAGCATACCACAATCACCTTTGTCATTATCATCATTATTGCTATGATTATTATCGTTACTATTATTATTACTATTATTATGATAAACTTACAATTGTCACTGAAAAGTGAAGAAAGTTTATTGTAGTTTTTATTTCTTTACATGTTTGTGAGACTGATTGAAAAAAAAAAAAAAAAAAAGGAATCCGAAAAAGGGGAAATCAGAAGAACGAGGAACTGTTTAAGAACGTTTCCACTCCAACCATCCAGCCTTAAGTAGTGAGCAAGGATTCTGTCATAGTGAAGTTTATACCTTTGCAATTCTTTCCATCGCCAGTGAGCCCAAAAGGACATGGACCACAATTTATAATCTCGCTGTTTTTGAAGCAAGTCACATTAGGGTAACAGGAATCTTCGGTACAGTTCTTTATTTTGATATCGCAGTTTGATCCAGTGAAGCCAGCATGGCAATTACACGTGTAGTTATTTACTAGGTCAATGCAGGTCCCTAGAAAAAAAAATAGGATAGATCACATTGATCAGTGATCTCAATGGATCCATAGTGTACACTATGGGCGCGGATCTGTCACTTTGAGCAGACGTTTTTCTAGAATTGACCAATCTATGATCTCCTATCTAAATATTTCACAAAAATCTTTTGGTTTATAACCAATTCATTTCTTAGATATGAAGTAGAACACCTTTTTGTGTTCTTAAGCAAGACACTTTACTCTCACAGTGCTTCCCTTCACCCAGGTGTACAAATGGGTACCAGCAAATATGCTGGGGGTAACCCTGCAATGGACTAGCATCCCATCCAGGGAGGAGTAGCAATACTCCTAGCCGCTTCATGCTAAGGAAACCGGAGTTAAGCGCCGGCCCCATGGGCCACTTGGGTCTTTATAAAGGCTTTACTATCTTTTTGCAAAACATTTAATGGTGGACTCTTCCGAAATGTTACATGCATCCTACTGGGTAAGTGTGCCGTAAATTAAGAAGGATGTGTGAAATAATAACAGAATGTGTTTTGAAATTTTAAAGAGTAATCATCCATACAAATAAATAAATTAATGGAACAATATTGCCTTCAAATGTGCAACCTATGTTTGATGAACAGCTGTTACCCTGTTGATAAATGTTTGGTTTGTTTCTCCTCTCTTCTACATTTTTAGCCAATGTGGAGGCGGTTCGCAACACACGCTTTTGATTACTGTAATTTAAGTTGAATGCTGGAATGTCATACGTGAGAGATTCTAGATTACTGAGTCATTTTCAAAGCGACATTGGCCAAAGTCGAATTTCTGGCACATTTTAAAGCTTTTTTTAACTCCGTCGTTTGATCGCCAACCGCGGTAGAAGCAACTTTTTTGCGCGGTTTTTAATGGCAGAGATGGAAAGTATCATGTGTTTTCTAGAGCAAACACAACACTTCTTCTTTGAAATGAAAATAATTGTTTCTTCATTCTGAATTCTTAAAATCTTTGGGTCATAATCAAGTAATATAGATGGAATAGAGTTTATCTATCGTGCTCAGTGATTATTTCAATAGTTTAGTAATGTTGGTTTGAAGGGCTAGCTCTTATACTCGAGTACTAAATTCAACTTTCACTAATCGTGCATGAAATTCAAGATATAATTAATGTAAAACATGATTTCGTACCATTTACGCACGGAGCTGAAACACAATCGTCTATGTTCTCTTCGCATCTAACTCCAGTAAAACCGGTTGGGCATATACAGGTAAAATTGTTGATTTTGTCAATACAAGTACCTGACAAAAGAAACTTATCGAGGTGAGTATGAATATTTGAAGCAACCTGTACGAGGCATGATCGTTTAGCTTCATGTCCTTGTTACTCCTCTTTATCATTTAATAAGTGTGAAAGACTTGGGTGGTTCTTAGTTTTACTTTGATACATTGTTACCTGCCTACAATTTAAATTTCTCTCGATCTGCTGGATCTGATTGCTATTGGCTGATCAATTAACACGTGGCAATACATGAATCTAAATGCATATGTATCCTGAGCGGGGAAATTTTATAAATTCACCCTGTGTAAGATCCCTGTGCAAGATGCATTGGCTGAAGAGCGTGAAATTGGTTCGGTGCTTGTAACGTGTTAAGAATTTCCGCTCAAAACTTACCACGAATGCAAGGAGACGGCAGGCATTCGTCGATTTCAACGTCGCAGTCGTATCCTTTGTAACCGTCATCACATACACACGAGTATTTGTTAACGTGATCGATGCATGCTCCTATAAGTAAAAAAAACAAAATGAAACATGAATACCTATGATAACCGATTGTTATTGGCTGGGATTGTGTGTTTCTTGCTACTTGTTACAGTATATGGTGAAGGAAAATCAGCCAATCAGGACAAAAAACATTACCCATGATGATTTGGACGGACAAGCATCAAGGGCAAGATTACCGAATTACCCTTCACATTATTATGAATGCTGTTCGTTGATTTAATGAAAAAAAAAAATGACCTGAACGATAGTTTACTTTTGGGACCTTGTGTTTGTTTTAGAATAATAGGGAACTCTGCAGAAATCGCTCTGCAGTAAGTTTTATCAATTTGTTTTTGATCGTGCTTTTGTCTTTTTTTTTTCTTCATATAGTTTCGAAAAATTCCATAGAATCCCAAACGATTCCATAAAAAAAGTATTACTCCCCGATGTAAACCATTTTTTCCCCATTGTATATTTTTATTTCATCAAATAATAGTATACCTGAAAAAATTACGCGCTTCTGATTGGAAAATGGGCTGATTGGAAAATGGGTGCAGTAGATTTTTGAAAGACTATAAATTGCACACGCCCTACAGACTCGTGTAATTTTGTTATTTTTAAAAAATTGCTAGCGCTTATTAACGCCAAATTGCACACGAAATCATGTTACAACCCCTTCCAAGAGATCATACACTGCAGTTTAATATATAGATTTAGCCAAGCCTAAAATCGGAGCTCGCTTTTTTTTTCCGCACGTCTCAAGGGCACAACGCCTTGCCCCGGCCAGGACTAGAACCCGGGTCGTCCGACTCGGAGCCCAGTGCACTGACCACTGGACTACTGAAAAAAGCCGCGGCGTTGGCGTGCACGCGGTACAGTTGACCACGCATGCTAAAAGTAGCACCTTTTACGGTCGCACGGTCGTACATCCAAATTTTTTCGGCTCGATGGGTTACTACTATTTTGTATAATAATGGGGCTACGCTCTGCGAGCTCCGCTTTAATCCTTTGTCCAAACTAATTGAATGCATAATGAAGTAAAGAGGTTTTACAGAAATCTTACTGTTTGTTTACATGGGTGATACAAAATCAAAGAAATTTTTGATAACTCACCAAATGCGCAAGGCGATGACTCGCATTCATCAATATTCTCAGTACAATTAAGCCCTCGGTATCCAGGATCACAAGTACATCTGTATGCGCCGGTGTAGTCCGTGCAATTTCCTGCGAAATAATAACAAAGCTTGCAATTTGATCCGGAGGACAGCATTAATTTTGATGAAGAGATGTTTAGATGATAATGTGCTATTAGATAGTGAAAACGCACAATTCAACATCCTGCAAACTTATGTTTTGTCATAACTAGACACATCTCCGTTTGTACTCAGGCGTTCATGATGGTAAAATCTACGCGCAGTATAACTTGGTTTTCACACTTATTAGCATGAAAAATCTTATATGCTCGTAAAATTTTCCTTGTCAAAACCATTTGAAAAGTATTTGAAAAATTTGTGTTCTTCTGATCCATCTTTTCACTTTCTTTTCAACTAGCTGTTGAGCTTACATGTGAAAAATGATGCACTTATGCATGCTCTGTATAGCTTTGTCACCTGCAAGCCTAAATTTTAAACTCAAGCTCATAACGGAGCATCTGAGTACAACTTTGTATTACTAACCATGGGCACAAGGAGAAGAACTACAATCATCATAATCGGTGTCACACTTGCGACCAACATATCCAGGGTCACAGATACACCTGTAAGTATTGATTCCATCAATGCACCGACCTTAGAAAGAAAATGAATACACGAAAAAACTGATTTAGACGAGAGTCCTTGGGTATCTAGCGCCTGTTGAAATTAATGGTCAGTAGACTTGCCTTGTCAGTAAAATCGCATTCAATGTAAATCACTTCTTTCACATTCTGATTATTCCCTATTACAAAATAACGCCTCTTACCCTAGTATTAGTTCCGTTTGATATTGATGTCATACCTAGTTAAGGACACAGCTGGGTTAGGGTTAGTGTAAGAAAAGCAAATTTTCAGTTAGTTGATGAGTGCTCCGTTTTTGCGGTTTAAATCCCTAAACAGTGTCTCTTAAAGTAATAGTGTTCACTGCCTTTTACGCCATGGTAAACAAGGAATTATAACTCTACCTCGAATGCATGGAAAGGACTGGCATTCGTCGATGTTAGTCTCACAGTTTTCCCCAGTAAACCCTGGCATGCAATTACACGCATAAAACCCTGACCCTCTTGGCTTGTTTGGGTGGGGCATACAGGTTCCATTATTCTGACACTGGCAGACAACCAAGGACACACTGATGTTAGCATACGATGTGGCTTGACAAGCGTCTGTTGCTTTGAGAAAAAACTGAGTCGAGGTATCATTGGTGGCATTCCAAATCAAATCTTTGTCGACGACCGACGCTTTGGTTGGGCTTCCTTGCATTAGTGAAAGTGTAACAGGCATGCCCTCTGGGTCCACAACATCAATGGTCAGTTGCAAGGCTTCTCCAGATACAGCGAAGTACTCGGTGGTGGGCGAAAACGTGGGTGGAAGGTTAGCTAAAGGTGTGAACACTTTTTATTAGAAGCTATTGAGGAAAACCTTGAAGAGAATCAAGATAATCATGAAGCAAAGTTGTAAGTTTCACGAGCTGGTCACTTCAAATGTAAATTTCGATGTTGCGACAGTACATTTCATCGTTGTAGAAGGAAATCCAGAAGCATGGATATGCATGATCAAAAAACAAACTAACAACACACACAGTTGTACGACAGAGGAAAGTTCAAATAGCACACCCCCAAAACGTTCTATTCACAGCTGTTGAAAAGTAACCAATCAAGATGGAGCACAAATCCTCATCGTGCAAGGCGTAGCCAATCAACCTCATTGCCTGAAGGACACCAGAAGTATACGCACGAAACGTCACAATTCACGGCTGAAGGGACTACACCGTCGACAAATGATACTATTTCATGATAACGGTGATTAAAATTACGACAAATAGCAACAACGCCTGTTGTGACATCAAAAGTTTTGCTGTAAATTTGAGGATTATAACTTTAGCATAATAATCAAGAACAATTCTAAAGTTAATAACTTGGCAAACACCAACTATTTTCAGGGGGAGGGGTGAAGGGGGGCTATTGAGGGTTGAAGATATTAATTTAAATATCCTAATCTCATTTGCAGATGTAAAAAGAGAGAAAAAACTTTATTTGAATTACCTTGACGTTTCGTCCAGGAGGTTGTGTTGACCTTAGGAAGACACTGGTAGCACCAGTCGGTAGGGTTTTTCTCGTCTGGGGCGAAGCAATAACCATTTATCAGGCAAGAGTTCCCCTGCAGTGTAAGATATATGGAATATATTAATTGCGAAGAACGAGCGTTTAGATCTGATGTGAGATGGGGACCGATCTACTAATAAATAGATCAAAAGTAAACAAATCTTGGAGGCCCTAGATCCACCTGGAAGGCCAGCCATTGGCATCAGCAGGAGTATATTATGTAAAAAAAGTTTTGCGCGTAGCTAGCAAGGGAATGTTTGCTATTAATTTAAATTTGCTCTTTTGTCTATTTTTTCCCAAACCCTGACATTACTAATGGATAAAATAAAAATACTGGGAAATATGCAGAGCTTGGCTCACCCGTAAACATTAAGTTCAAGCTAATTTCCTCAAAGCCGTCAGGAACACTTCATGATTCAGACTCCCAGCTTCATTAGTTGTAAACCGTTTAGAGTTAAACCCTTATTATTTACAATAAGAAATAATTTACTCGGGTTTATTTCGTTTTGATTTTCTAAACTTAAATTAAAGAGACTTGCCTTGAAGAAGCATCCAGAAGAAATGTTACAAGTCATGCAAGCTGAATCATACGATAAAAAGGTGAGATTTTTGACGCTTTTGTGTTCACCATCGTTAGATACAGATATCATCAGGCCAGCGGCAGCAGTCCCTCTATCAACGTCTGAGAAATAATTTTGCGTGACCGGGGACTGTGGTAAATAACAGTCAACAAGTACCAAGTCTGTCATTTTACCAGAGAATCTCTGTTCTGCACTGTTCGGCGTCCAAGGGCTATCAACAACCTATGTTCATCCGGTAAACACAAAAATATGGACTGAAGAGATAAACTAAATGAAACAAGAAAACAAATAAAAAACAAAAACAAATAAAAAAATAAAACAAGCAAATCCACAAAGAAAAAAACAAACAAACAAACACATTATCACAATAAGAAAACGAGATCATGAGAACAAACGAATATAAAGGCGAGTCGTCTATCTCTTTCATTCAAGAGTTTGCAATCAGGCCACAAAGTCGCCCGACCAAAATTCGTTTTTTTCTGTGTAAAACTAGAGAAATGTGTGATATGTTAAAATTGCTAACCTTGAATTCGTTTACATGACAAGTCATGTTTGTAGAATTGCGGAAGTCAATGCCAAATACTGTAACCTTCTTGCATGGTCGTTTGCGCCTGTCACATAAGCCGTCCTCCTGCAACCTAGCGGTGGCAGCGTATATTCAATGTTATTGACATTCTAAAGAGCATCAAACACCCACGAGAAAAGAAGAAAGCTCTTCTGTCAGAGTTCTGTGGTGGTACCGATGGTTTTTTGGTTGATTCTGGTAATAACTGATCTTTAACTGTCGAACTATGGCGGGCAGAAATGATCGACCGTTCTGTCAATCGGTAGGATATATCGATTGAGCGATTGATTGACAGTTTGATTGATGAGTGACGGACTGACTAATTGAACATCAATCGGTCGTTGTCAAGTTGGAAATGAGGAAAACGGAAGTGTTTTAAGCAGCCTACCTGGAGATTGTAGGTAATTGATAGATGGACACCGAGCAATCGGAAGCTGTGTAGTCTTTGTAACATACGCAGGAGCCATTAACACATTCTCCGTTTAGAGTACAATCATTTGGACACAGCAACTCAGCGACTTGTTCAACCAAAGCTTTAGCCGCGGGATTTGCTTCGCTACTTTTGTTTGCAAGCATGGATAGATTTTTGGCACCCAGTATTCCACACTGTTCGACTAATACTGCCACACTACCACTTGCAAAGGAGAGGTCCCCTGTAAACTTTTAAACAAGAAAAAAAAAATAGGCTGTCGAATAAATACCTGTATCTTTAGAGACTAGGATGATGTCCCCTATTTTTAAATTTTCAATAATCATTCAGCCAGTTTCAACAAAATTCAGCGAAATATTGCTGAAATTTTTATTGAGAAAATCATTGAACCGGGTTCAGCAAAATACAGTCATTTGAAAGTGGCGAAAGGAAACGGGCATTTATGCATTAATTTTTATATATTTTTTGATGTATTTTGTAAATATACTGTTGTCGTTATCCTGATTTTTATCATTATAATCATGAATGTAATATAATTGTTATACATACATTTATGATCATCAACACTTTATTATATGTGATCAGTTTTGAAGGGAAGAGACCAGTCGTTTTCCATTATAATCACAAGCCTATCATACTTTTCTCACCAAACAGTGGTTATGCTTAATGTAAAAAAAAGGGCTGGATTTCTCTACCAATCGGTGACTAATTATTGTTTTCCATTTAAAGCTATATACTGAATCATGCACACAAAAAAAACGCTTGGGAAAAGAAACTCCCCATGTTAAAGTTGATTCGATTTGAAACAAAATCTTACATAATAAAAAAAAGAAAATCTACTCCATCAGTGTTTTACTTTAAAGGATTGACAGCAATTTTAAAAGCCTCGAATAAATTGACTCCATATTTTCATTGAGGATTAACGATTAGTTATCCCAAAATTTAGATCTAATGGTGAGCTGACAACTGTTTTTCCTTCTGGTCATTTACCAACTAATAAGAGCTTCTAAGTCACCCATGATATTCTTCTCCTCATGCGATGTGTATCGCAAGCTTTCTCTTATTTATGCGTTGCTAACAGCTAATCCAAAACGGACAAATCAGCAGAGAGTGAACGAGCAGGTGTTGCTATAAAATCCCCTCTGGAAAATTGATAAACCAGCCAGTCATCTTGTCAAAGAAAAACAGTGGTTTAAAGGTATCGAAATCGGGGCAACTTCGGACGATTTGGATCCACTCAGAACCTATTTATTAACATCTATTTTTCAGATACAATAGCTCTTCTTTGCCTGGGCAACAATTTGGTAAGGAAGGACCATCATTACAGACAATTAGCCTTTTTGAGAATAATCATTGCCGATTGGTGGTGTGTAGTTGAAGTACACAGATATCATTTTTTGTTTTGTATGTAAAAAGATAACCAGAAATGTTTCGTTCTACCTTACCTCTAAATCAGCCGAACATGTCTCAACCAGCTGCTGTACATTCACTCCAAACTGCGCACAGAGCTTACCAAGCTTAGTGTCGGATATTCTCTCAGCACAATAACGTGTGGCGTTTTCTTTAGGAATTTGGTCGTCAGCTGCTGCCCTCCTGAAACGATGATGCGCGTGAAGTGTATGCTTAAATAACTGTAAATCTTCATCTGTGACATCATCGGAGTAGTGAATATCCCTCTTCTGTCGATCACACAACTCTGTAGGCGAGGCATCTTGCATCGGTGTATTCACCAGAGTGGGAAAAGCGGCATCAAATACATTTTTGCATTCAGTTTCATTGTTTTGACCATCTATGGGACACAAACATGCCCTGGCATATTCCACATAGCCTGCGTTTACTTCATCCGGAAGTGTATCAAAAAAGCTTTCACCGACCTCCAGCCTGAAAAGTAAAAGGCAGATAATCTCCGGCAGCTTGAAGAAACAAACCAAAGTCAAAATAGCTTCAAATATTAGGAAATCCCGCATGAATAAAGAGCGCTCTTATGAGAGAGGATCATTCGAGCATAATGTACTGACTAGCTAGATAGCTAGCTTCGTGGGTTTTATAGAAAATAATTGAACACAGCCCCAAAAGTCATTGTGCTAAGAAGACATGAGCAGTGCAAATGATAAATCGATGTTTGGACGTTTTCTGCGTACTTAACAATATGATCGACGTCACTAAGATTTTCTTCTAAGACATAATTACCTTTCCTTCATTCCTTCCGCATCGATTGTAGCGGGATTGTGAAGACAAAGTCCTCTTTCGTTGTTTACGTCCTTTGCCCTTGGTGTGAAAAGGGAAACATCAAGTCCCCAATAGTTTCTTGCTATTTCAACCTTTGCTCCTGATGGGAACAGCACCTTAACAGGAAAAAATTACAATTTTTAAATTATACTTAATTTGTAGTTGAAAGGAAAGATATGAGGAGCTGACAAAAGCTCCTCTATAAGGAAGCCTCAGAAATTCCATCGGCCGCCCTTCGAGTGAACAGTTAAGCTCTGATGTCCTTTCCTTTACATTGAGCGGAAGGCCACATCAGTCACTGCAGCCGAGTTTTATGGCTCTGTTATCTCGAGCAATCTTCATGTTCCGGTGAATTCGGCTGTCGTTCATTCATAAAACACTCGCCTTGAAAAGTTTGTTTTCTCATTGTCATATTAAAAAACCTGTGTGTTTTTATGAGCCAAAGTTCGGCCGGATTTCACTGAACATTTCACTTTCAGATTTGTAAGTTTGTAAACTATTGCAGAATGTGAACTTTGATGGTTTGATATTTTTGGCACTTTTAGTCTTGTACAGCCGATCCCATAATTTGAACTATTATAACAAGGATTCTGATTGGCTTATTGTAGCGTGCTTTAGGTGAGTATAGACCATGCTGATGACACTGTTCTTCGTTTTGGAATTGAAACTTGTTTTAAAAATTGAAAGTAATGCGTGGGAAATTTAACGATTCTTTATTATAAAACAAATAGAGAAGCCTTGACTGTGCTCTGTTCTGTTGTAAAGCACTTAGAAACACTCGACTACGTCTCGTGTTTCTCCCTACACTTCTTTCGTGCTCTAACCGCTTCTTGCGTGCTTTCCTAAAGGAAAAAAAAAACGCGCCGAGTGCATTATTGAGTTTTACATGCACGCGGGAATTTTCAAGAGCACGAGAGAAGTGCGGAGAAGCACGAGTGTTCTTAAAAATTTCCAAGTGCTTATATAACTCAGCAATGCTTAAGGAACAAGTTTTTTTTAATTTCTTTTAATCAGAAAATGCATCGTGAATTGCGCGCGCTCGTATCGATGACGTAGGCTGCGTGCAGTATACCTCAACAGTGCACTCGTGTGACGTAAGGCGCGTGCTTTATGGAAATTTATAATAAAGTTCGGATATAACGCGCGCTGTCATTGGTTGAAAGAGCGTGCTCTATAAGAGTATAGAGCATAGAGCTGAGCTAAAGCTGTCACGCCATCTGCCAAATTGTACCATGTTCGACCTTTTCCGGGACTTCTTTTCAGCTTTATTCCGATAATTGAAAGTGAAATTTCGGAACAAGCGAGCCGGCAAGTAGTAGAAAAATCAAATAAAGATTTGTAAACATACCAGGTGCCGTAATTTACGTTATTAAAACATGAGCAGATACGAAAATCCTCAAAGGAAAAACAAAATAGACATTCCGAGTTTTAAAGATTGATTCACGCTCAGTTAGATTGCAAGCTTACGTACGGAAATAAAAATCAAACACAGCTAACATTCAGATAGTATATAAAGTTCAGTGTTCAAAAACAAAACAGAACAAAACAGAAGTGATGAAAAATATAACCAAACTGACATAACTGTGAAAATTCATTCTAATCATGACGGTGTCTAAGCGAATATGATCATGCTGAAGTCCATCGCGGCTCGCTCATCATGGCGATCTCCGGTCATCACAGTAAAGCAAGCCTCAGAAACTACATCGGTTGGAAAGTCACATCTGTCACTGCAGCCGAGTTTTGCCGCGCTGTCATCCCGAGCGATCTTCATGTTCCGGTGAATTCGGCTGTCGTTCATTCAAAAAACACTCGCCTTGAACAGTTTGTTTTCTACCTTGCCACTTGCTACCTTGCTTTTATCAGCCATAATTCGGCTGAAGTTCACTGAACATTTCACTTCAAGATTCTGTATTAGAGACTTAAAAACTTCCGGCAAAACTGTTAAATTCGACCTGCCGAACTATTTTAGTTTGTAAACTATCGCAGAAGGTTAACTTTGATGGTTTGACACTTTTGACAGCTTTAGTCTTGTACAGCCAATCAGATCATTTGAACCATTCTAACAAGGATTCTGATTGGCTTATTGTAGCGTGCTTTATGAGAGTATAGAGCATGCTGACGACACTGTTGTTCGCTTTGGAAATAAAGTTTGTTTTGAAAATTGAAAGTAATGCTACGTCTAGTGTTTCTCCCTACACTTCTTTCGTGCTCTAGCCGCTTCCTGCGTGCTTTATAACAGAACAGAGCACAGTCAAGGCTTCTATATTTGTTAAATAATGAAGCGCGTGAAGCAACTCAGTTAGGAATAACTATAGAAAAAAAGATATAACAGACATTTTCTTACTTCATATTTGCTACTGCTCCCAGGTATAACCTTTTTTATGGAAATTCCAGGAGATAAGCACTTCTTGCTTCGTATCTTGACAGTAAGAGGCGTTGTGTCGTCCCGAAGCATAAAATCGTTGCAACAGCTGAACTCAATCACGTCATTGTGATCTCTAAGGACTGCACCACAATTGCAACTGACTCTTCTCTGTCCGGGCTTATGATCTTCCGGTTTTACACCGTTACAAGACCACTGCCTCGTATGAACCTAAAATAAAAAGTGACAGTTTCGATGGAGTTCATAATTTTTATACAATTTGTTAACTGTGATGAAGTATTTCAGTAAGTTAGTTCAGTATAATCTAGTCATTCGTTTTTGTTTAGCATGAAATTGCTGTCTAAATTCGAAGTTCAGAGTTATTTAAATTGAATCTTTCAGACCAACATGCCCACTTATACGTTCCGATGGCGAATATCTTTGTATAAGCATGTATCTTAGAAGTTTTTTACGCGATAGTAGAAGTAAGTAGTACGAGAGAAGATGATATCTTTAAGTAGAGAACGTAAAGAATACTGGAAAAGACAGGTCGAGAGTCCTTGACTCAAATAGCAAAAGCGTGGTACGACTCGCAGCTAGTTTCCCCTTAGTTGCGACTCAACATTCTTAGGTCAAAGACTTGCTGACAGAGTTTGTGGATGGATTTATCTCACATTTGCCTGGCCTGCACTGTGCCAATCTCATTATATGCCCCTCAAACACTTAAAGCCTCTTTTAATCAGTCATCTCAAAGCAGTTTGTTCTTATAAAAATCGAGGTATTCATGATTATCGATAGTGCTCAATTAACAAATAGCGAAAGAGTATGTAAAACCCCGTGACACTTTTTGTTTCTATTCCGATAAGCCAGCTTTCCACGCAAGATAGCCGTCAGCAGTTGAAACGACTTCTTTACTCAACGTCAACCGTCAAGAATGCCTCCCAATTGCAACCAATTGCAAAAAAAACAAAAGCTCTGCGTGGTTAAAATGACAACGCATCTATCCTTTAGCTCTTTGGAAAGCATGAATAACGATTACAATGTAACAAGTGAAAATAATTTTTCTAAAAATTTATCAGTGTACTCCTTACCTCAAAGTTCCTTTCCGTATTCCTGTAAAGTATAAAGTCACCAAGGCCCATAAAATCGAAATACCTGGACACATGTACACACAAAGACAGCTGATTATTTGTTTAATCTATACCTGATGTTCTGTGCAGGATTTATGTTATCTTTATCATACCACAATACATACCCCTGAGAACAGCAAAACTACGGGTCGAGAATTGTTTGGAAAATGATTGAGCTTTACTTGAGTCTCAATCATTTTTCGCATCTTTGTTAGGATTCTGTTTGGGTGCCTTTTAGGAAATTTAGTTCACTTATATTCTTCTGTTATGCCACGAATTTGTTCTTCCTGTTTGTTTTTGTTTCTTTTTTTTTTTCTTCGCTTTTTTTGCTTTTTTGTCTCAGTTTTTTAGTTATTTTCAGTGAAAGAATAACAACATCCTTAAAGCTGTATGAAATTTAAGAATCATATATGCGAAATAACCAGTGTGATCGACTGAACACCAAACAAAAACAAAACAAAACAAAACAAACTAACAAACAAAAAGACAAAACGAAAAAAGACAAGACGAAAAGAAACAAATTGAAGAAAAAAGAATCGGCAAGAAGTCAGTCTTTACAAACCCTCCAAAAGACGAATAATGAGGATCTGTGATCGATGTACAGGTTTCTATGGTATTAGCCGGTGGTTGTAAAATAGTAACCTGAAATGGAAAAGATTAAGTAAGCATACTATGTGATTTTGTGCTCTTCTTTCTTAGTTTTTTCTTATTAATCCTTTGTTCCCCTTGCAAATGAAAACTAAAAGCGCTTAAAATCCCTCCATAGTTCATTCTGCCTTCGTAAGACCTTTTAAAACTATTCAAGTTGACTTCGTATTGATTATAGCTGTATAAAACGTACAATTTTCAACATTTAGTCGTGGCCATAAATGATCATATGAAATCGTTTCAAAAGTTTGCTGTCATCTTGGACGATTTGCATAGAGACTTCTTTAAACGAGATATATGTGACTTTGCTTGTCAACCACGGTTTCAAAAGTCTTGAATTTGATGTAAAAATATCGAGTGTGACAAAATGCCCCTTTGAAATCGGGATAAATTTTTCTCCTTTTGGAGGGAGTGACCTTCACAAAAGTGACAGGTTTTGTAGCTCCTGTCCTGCACACCTCTAAGTGTTTGTTCTTCTTCGAGTAAAAGGAAAAAAAGGTTTTCATTGTTTAAAGAATTTTTCCGACTATTGTCTTGTTTACCATGGTCACTAAACATGAGCTTTGCAGGTTCTATTGATCTCAATGAAATTGATACATTACATGAAATCGATAGCTTGCATAAGAGGTAACACTTCCGATAATCATTCTACTGTGGCTCAGTGGTTAGAGCATCGGAGCGCGGAATCCGAAGGTATGAGATTCGATACCTCATGGGGACTCAGAATTTTTCTTTGTCCCACGAAGTCTCTCGGGACAAGACGAAAACAATAGCTGTCTCTGCTTTGAAGTTTTTCGTTTCTTTTTAAATCGTTCTGATATTTTGTATACGTACCCATACTGTTGGAAGATGAGCACGCAACCAAAACTGGTCGTGGATTTGAGATCTCTGTGGAACTATGGCTCGAAGTCCACTGGAAATTTGAGTGTTTTGAGGGCAGGTTGCCTTTATGTTTAAAGTAACTGGTGTAGTCCCTTTCAACTCGATTTCGCATTGCTGCTGGTTTACTAACTGTACTTCATCGGGAAGCCAGAAATAGAACTTTGGGTATCCAAAGATCTCATGTTCACGGGCGGGTATCGTTGGTGTAAAAGTAATCTGTTGAATGCTGAGATCACAACTTTGAAGCTGTAGTATGGTAGTTCTAGGATAAACCTGCGAATAGGGTACAAACTGAGTTCAAACTAAATTTCAGAAAAGGAAAAAAGAGTTAAATAGTGGAGGGAATGAAAAATGAAAGAAGGAAGGCAGGGACTGGAGAGAATGAGAAAAAAAAGGATCATAAAACAAACAAACAAACAAACAAACTACTGATTCACCTGTATGCCTGCAAAGAATGGTTCCCGTACGGCTTTTGACGGCGACCACACGTTTTTCGGGGAAGTTGTAAACATTGCAGAGACATTGCACGATATCTGTTTTAAGGAAAAGAGAGGAAATAAGTTGGCTTTATGATTCCACAATACCAATATAGAAAGCGACAATGGTGTTATTTCGAAGGATCTTACCCAGCTGCCTATTGTGTAGTCTTCTCCTGATAGTTGGGAGATCAGAGTCGCATCTGGACAAGGACCAGGGTTTTGGCCGCCGATGGGGACATTACCACAGAATGTTTCTGTCTTTAGCAGATTTCCCTCTGCAAACCATTCGATCCTATACGTCACATTTTTCCAATTGGCGATTCCGTTGAGAATGTTGACTTTACAAACCAAAGTCACTGCAATTTCTTCACCGTCGGCGACTGCGATTTCTGGATCATCGAGATCGTCACTAGAAAACTCTTGTGGTAAGTCTAATAAAAAAGTGTTGAAAGATGGGGAGGAGTAAAAAAGTGTATAAGGAAGTAAATAACTTGGTACATAAATTACAATAAAAAACAAAAGTGAAAAAGAGATAATATTAGGTCAATGACCGCATAATGTGAGTTACATTTCCAATAATCAACCTTAGTAAAATGTGATGTAAAACTTTAGTTCTGGAGGGAATATCTAGTGATAAGCAGGACGTCTTTCACAATTTACAAAACTTGCATCAGGCATAACCCAACCATTGTGGTGAGAAAGTTAAAACTAGTCACAGTTTTCCAATGTGACTGGCCTGATTGAGAAATGCAAGAAAAAACCGACCGCTATTTTTCCTAAAAGGATAGCGTGTAGGAAGGACTCTAAAATTATAATAATAATTTATTACTTATATGGCGCAAAATACTTGTGGATATGATCTTATGCGCTAAAACAGATAATAGAGGGAGTGGGGGGAGAGCGCGTGTCCTGAGGATATTATTACAAAGCCTTATTGGGGGGAGTAAAAAAATATCATAGCAAAAATTGTTATCACAACGATAGGTTGTATTCGTAGATGTGATGAAGATTACTTTTTAATCACTTCCCTTAGATCGCTCGGCGCAATGCCGTTGTTTGAAATCTAAACTGTTGAACAGTTAACGTTTTGTTAAGACGGTTTTTAACCCGGAAATTTAAACATTTCCTATGTTCAGACCTTTCTTTCTATTCTTATCTTCTCGTTTAACGGTAGTTACGTAACTTTAAGTCTCTAACCTATTTGAATGCTTTTAGATTGATATGAAATTTGGGAAAAACACAATACGTACCATGGCAGTCAGGAGGTTTTCCTTCTTTCCCATAAGGACATGGTTCCCCGAAGCCTAAGTAGGGTTAAAAATAAAAGGACACTGTAGACGTATCGAAGCCTTTCGACAAAAAGAAAAAAATTAAAGAAAATGGGGTGAAAATTGTCCATTGATGATGATAAGGAAACATGTGTATGGTTAGTCTCCCCATCATAATCAATAAACCTCGGAGTACACATAAAAAAATACAATTTTTCATGCGAACATAGCGCCCTTACTTCCCAATGCAGTTACTCTTGTTAATTCGTTGTTTGTTCAGTAGTAAATAATCTATAATAATCTATGGTCACAAACAATACGCTTTTCAAAAAGAATACATCAGATTTGCTGAGGCTTACGTCACGACTTCCGCTTATATTCTTAACTCATAAAAGAAGTCGTTCGTGTTGGTCGATTCGCCTATCGATTTGAATAACTGATTTCTTAAGGCTTGCCTCTGGATATTGCTTAAGGTTAGCTCAGCGAAAACTATCAAACCTACCAGCACAATAACCGACTGCGCAATACCATGGTGGTCTTAGATAGTAAACGAATACGTCATCTGCACACTTTGTTATATTAATGTCAAACGAAGTAAAGCAACCGTTGCTCAAATCTAAAACGTTAACACAAGCTCTGCGGACGACGTTTTCTCCTATCGCTGAGGGATGCACTCCGTCCAACCATATTGGAGCTTGCGTACCACAGCGGTTCGGTGATACTTTCTTTTCTGGCATTTTTCCCCCAGCGAAGCTTGTGAAACGATACCATCCCCATCCGAGTCCCCGATCACATATTGGATCTTGTCCCGGTTCCCAAATAGCCTTAATGCTGCGGCGGGGATCGTTAATTTCGATGTATGTTGAGCAGCAAGAGCCATCATTGCAATCCACTTGCGCTAGACAGGCAGCGCTACTAAGGAGAGCCACTGTCACGATGCAGCGGATCATGACAACGTCACCAAAGCTTATCGTGTTCTGACCAAGCTCTTGTATAATATTCGTTTAAATTCTTTAAGGAAGTTGTATGCCAAGATTCTATTTTAGCATACCGTGTATTCGGGTTCGTGATTGGTTTAAGCTTACGCAAATAATGAAAAAAAGGGTGGGGGGTTTTTTAACACGGAAAGAATTGTTATGGTAACTCTGGTTTCAGTTTCGTTCCGTCAGCGCTGAAACCAAAATTGCCTGACAAGCAGTTTTTATGCAGGATTGCCATGTACATGTACAGATGACAAAACCGCGTACAAGAACCGAATTAAATTACATGAAGTCTCAACGAACTGAAGCCATTCACCGGTTTGTGATCTTGAACCTTTATGGGCGGCTTTTGTTGAAAAAAATCGAAAGTAAAATTTATTGCGCCTGGGTGGTTTTAAAGACATCCGGTTGGTAACAAGCAGATTCTCGCCCAAACGGCACATTTGCATTAATAACAGAAATTCCTACTACTTTAAGTAATAGAGGTATTTTGAGACAAGATCAGTTGTGCAAACTCCAACCGCGTCGACTAATTATTTGTTCCTAAGCCGATTTGTAGTTCTGAGTTGAAAATTTCACGTAACACATACTTGTACCTCTAATCGACAAAATACTAGATTTAAGTTCTGAACTAGCTCTGTGGATACGATCTTGCGTAGAAATGAGCACAACTAGAAATATCAGCGAAGCTTGCTGAAAGTGAGTAACTGGATTCATAAGACTTCGTCGCAAATATCTTTGTCGTATTTCTTGAATTAGATAATCATACAAGCATTGAAATTTGACGACTGAATTCATAAAATATTTATGACTTATTAAAGCGGCTGCTCGAACGTGACATGCTACAAGAATTCACTTTTAAGAAGAACCTTGATCGAGATTTTGATAGAGTTTGGCACTTGGTCGAGTGAAAGAGTCGACCTTGAAAAAAAGAAAATATACAACTGATGAACAGATTACCATCTCAGGCGATGCACATCTTGCACACTTGTGTGTTTTGCAACGCGTTAGTTAAAAAATAACTTGTATGTATTCACTATCATGTACATAAAGAAGTTGAATTCACAACTCTTTATTCTCTATATTTGCTGAAGTTATTAAATACTTAGGTATGGGCGAAGTTTGCTATACTTGCAAATTTCGCTGTAGAATTTTCCTGATTTTAGATTAGAATATGCGAGTTTGAATGTTTATGCGGTTGGCACTTTTGAAGTGATTTTTGAGGGGATCCTTGAGAAACAATACACTAAACGTCATGGCATTAATATTGGTTGCATAAACAACAGAACAAAGGTATCTAAAGTTTACTTTATTTTTGTGACTAAAGATAATAACCCTTTGTTTCTTGTTTAATGCGTGAAGCTTCCGTAGTTGCTGGTGTTCAGTTGTTTTAAAAGTAAACGTAAATTGGCCAAACGTCAGCATTTCAATGCTGACGTTTCGATCAACCGGTAGCTCTTCATCGGAGCGACGAAGGACCAACGCTCGAAACGTCAGCTTTGAAACTCTTTACGGTGGTCAATTTACTTTATCAACTCAGTTGACAATACTTAACTACCCTGTTATACTATCCACCTACGCAGCACCACATGCCACAGATTCTTTATTCATTTAGTTTTAAAAGCAGGTTTTGACGCTCAATCAAACCCCTCTTTGATAAATTGTGGGCTGATTTAGGTGCTATTCTCTCAGTACGTGCAAGTAAGGCTTGAAATCACACAAAACTCGAAATTATATCTTAGTACAGGTAATAATATCACGGCATGATTAAACTCGTGCATAAACAATAGGATGAATAGTTGAAAGCAACCGCATAGATAAAATGATTTGTAAGTCACACTTTCAAATCTTTTGAGAGGCTTTGAACCTTAATGTCATTGCGTAAAACTTCTTTTCATATTTGTGTTAAGAACACCTATAAGGAGTTTCCGATTTAGCAGAAGTTCACGAAAGCGAATCTTACTAGTAAATAAAAGTTGGCGAAACAGCCACGAACAAAAGCATAATCACTTCTTGAATACATTACCAGAGCGAAGAAGATTGAAGCGAACTCCTGCTAAATCGGAGAACCGTATTATGTTGCATGGATCGCGTTAATAAAAAAAAAAATAACTATTACATTTAATTGCACACCATACAAACCACACGAAACAGAACGGTGTTAACCTCTGTTCATATCGTGCTAATTATAAAGCCCTTTGAAACCAATTTGCCCTTTTGAACTCGTTTCAGACTTTGTCAAGAAGGGGGCTCCCAGTTTCGTCAGGTCACCGGCGGCCCACGCTCCAGCTGTGAGATGATCATCTTGCGCAATAACAGTCATGGCGGAATTATAAGAGTTTGTATGGGAATATTTACGACCGCTCTAAGGTATAGAATAATACGTCAAATTCTCAAAAAAAATACCTCACCTTACTTTCACAGCGTATCACTTGTTATATGACCGCTTACTTTGATGAAAAGAACGCATTTTAGCGAGTTGTCCATTTCGAGGTTTTCAACGTTCATAAGAAAAGCCTAAGGCTGAACACTCCATTTCCGAACGCCTGATCCGAGAAGCGAAAAATCCAAGCTCAAAATGACCAGGCGCCCACAAATCCAACGCAGAATCCAAGAACATATACTGCAGTTTCATTCCAATTCACTAAAAACTCAATCTTCCCCGTGCAACCGACACTAAGCCGCAGTTTGCTTCAAAAATTTCCGGTTTGGAGGTTTCTAACAGCCCGCGGCCACATCAACCTTGACACACGACCGTTGAAAACTAGCTCGGTAACCCTACCTCCTTTTCGAACTGAGCTTCGCCGGGGACCATACCGTCAGTTATCGTCGATAAATTGTTTTAGAACCATGGGTCCCCTCAGTAGAAATCGATCAAGAGGCTATCGGAAATGGAGTGTTCAGCCTTGGGCTTTTCTTATGTACGTTGAAAACCTCGAAATAAACAACTCGCTTAAATGGGCTCTTTTCATCAAAGTAAGCGGTCAGATAACAAGCGATACACTGTGGAAGTAAGGTGAGGTATTTTTTTTTTTTTGAGAATTTGACGTATTTTTTATTCCTTAGAGTGGTCGTAAATATACCCATACAAACTCTTATAATTCCGCCATGACTGTTATTGCGCAAGATGATCATCTCCCAGCTGGAGCTTGGGCCGCCTGTGGTCAGGTCTATAATTAGGTTGCAATCTAAAGAATAAATTCTTTTCAGGGAGATAAAATAATTTTATCGATTACATCCATGTTGGCGATCAGTAAACGATTTCTTTGGATCAGATGACAGCCTATCACAATACCTTTTGGAATATTTCTCCATGTGTGTTGAGATCTGACGCATCAAGAATCCATGACATAAGAAAGTAAATTATTTAAGGAATCAACTCATTCGCAAATAATGCAGACATTTCATTACTATTTGCATGATATGAATGACTAGGGTACTTTAGCCGGCATCATCGACTGGTGATCAAACTTGGTTTTTCACATTAGCAAAGGTAGCCTGGGACAGCTTATGCCCACTTTTGCGAAAAAGGATTTGTGCACAAATCAGCTAAAGAACTGACCCCAACTATTCGAAGCGTGAATAACGCTATCAACTGGATAATTATCTACCCGGTGGATAGTGCAGCACGTATTCTTAACACTTATCCGATGGTTAGTGACACATTAATCCGTTGTATAGCGTTATCCACCCTTTGAACCAGAGCTTGTTCGTGTGGCTCATTATAGCAAACCGTCATTTCCTACTTGATCGTCGAAACTTTCGTTATCGCTGCATCAGTGGCCGGTAGAAGTACAGGCCAATTTTCTTTTACCTTGGTTGCTTTTTTTCTACGAGTCTAGTCGTGAAGGCTACTCTTCCTGGGTATCGATGACTTGTTTAGAGGCATGGCGACACTCTCACCTCTGTTAACAGTAATACACTTAAAGGAATTAGTTATTCAAAGCGTTTCAAAAGTTGTCGATCAAAAGTTTTATGCTTTGGTTCAAACCAAACTTCATTAAGAGAAGTGACGTATTCCACAAGAAGTTGTTCATATACTTGGTCTTCCAGTAAGTCACTCAACGCCATGCTAGCAAAAAATCCATGAAGATCGGTGAGTTTTGGCTCAGTAAGTCATTAACGGTATCCTTCTCACAACATTCACCTTCAAAATTGTTACTGCAAATTTGATAACCACTAAACTTATATTTTTCAAGAGCTTTTTCTCGTTGCCGTTGATTTAGGTCCCTTTTGGCGCCTTATAATGACTTGTAGTAATAGGAAACTTCAGGTTCTGGAGAAACATTTCCTTCTTCGGCTCGTAGCACTGAATCCTGGTCATAATTTGCGCTATCGGGCACTTTTTCAATATGTCATAATAATGAGACAATTGAGTCTCTCCTGATACCTCTGTTCTACCGTCAGAATCTTCGGTAGCCACGAAAGCGGAAAAATGCCCAGAGCTTGAGCTTCTCCTACTTTTTGAAGCCGTTAACATTTCTGTGGATTTAGAGTGATGGCTGCCTCGTAGGAAACATTTCATAGATGATGAATACTCCTCGTTGAGTTTTTCGTCGAGCTCATCTCGTTCCATATTGAACGCCATCGATAACCGTCTTGAATCCGTCGGATGTCCATAGGATTCAGAACATACACCGCTAGTGTCCTCACCTTCTAAACGTTTTCTAGATTCATCCTGACTAGGTGTGATTATGTCGAGGTCAGTCTTCGTTTCAACCCGGTCTTTGGCTAGAGATGTAAGTGAAGACCAGCTGGAGGAATTTTCTGGCTCTCAGAGGTTCTCTTGTTCTCGAATAGCCAGCTTTCTTTATCGACGAGAACAATGCTTTTGCGGCCCGAGCAGCTCCCAGTGGAATGCCTAGTTCACTATCTCTACTTTGGTGTGATTTGTCCAAATAATGTTCATCTTCGTACTTCCCTTCCTGAATTTCTACACTTTTAGAATCACTGTCGCAATGCGGGTTGATATTGGTTTCCGA